AATAAACACTGATTCAGTGGAAGAAAAACAAAACAAAGCAAAACATTTATATGGTTTGCAGTGTGGTTAAAAATGTACATAGGCTTGGGAGAGATAAGAAAAAGAATAGAGAAAATCCTTTAGGAAAGAGAAATAGACTAGTCAAGTGTGGTGGTGGTATTTTCAAGATGGTGCAGTTTTTCTCACTGAAAAGAAGACTGCTGCTTCGGGTTTCTGTGGGAGCAGTTTCTAGTGGGATGGATTTAGGGCTATCAGGTTGTGTTTTGTAGAATTCCTTTGGTTGGTTGGAGATTCATGACTAAGGGTCAACTGAGGAAGCCTTAGATATTACCTTGGGAACAACAGGCTGAACATTTTTTTTTAAAACAAAGTCAGTGGGCATCCATGAGCAGAGGAAATTGGAGTTGTTCCTAGAAAAGCAGAGGAGGTCAGTGACAGCCTTGCTTGGGTTAGTCTGTTGCCGTTGCCTTTCTCCACTAGACGAGAACAAATCTCGAGGGTCTTGGCGGCAAGTCTGGGATGAGAATTAAGCCGGCTTTGAGCCCATAGGTAGAAGCCAGCTCTTCTAGAAACTCGAGATATTAGTAGGAGGTATTATGCCAGGGACTGGACTAAAGGTCTGTAAAAGTGGTTAGAAATGCCACTGAAATGGAACAAAGATAAATAGCCTCAGAGCAGGGAAATGCTACCAGTTAAACGAGCGTCTACAGACATTCCAGCCATTTACAGATCCAAGCTCAACAGGGTATGGCATGTAGAGTAACAGATTCAGGACTTGAATTGACAACTAAGCATCAAGGATAGGAAATACTTAGTCCTGAATGCTCAGAATTGAACTAACTGCAACACTGATCCACCCACCAGGGGGCAGTAGGTTAAAACAAGGTCTGCCAGAACTTGCAGAAGGAGTTAATACCATTTCTAGGCAGTGGCTGGAATTTAATTGCTAAACCAAGGAGCCAAACACTTCTGCTTGGAGGACAAGGAGGGAATTCTCTCAAGTCTCAGGACACACAGACCAAAGTTTGTACCTGAGACAAGGCCTATCTTGGGAAGCTGTACTGGTGTGTGTGTGTGTGTGTGTGTGTGTGTGTGTGTGTGTGTGTGCTTCAGTTTTATGAAATCTGATCTTCTAGCAAATGAAGTCTTCAGACTGCAAACGCTGAACGGATTGGTATGAGCATGTTGGACATTTGGCTTCCTAGTTTGTCTCAGGAGAAATCATAGGCACAGTGCTTTGCTTCGTTTTAACTGATTCCTTTCTTCTTCGAAGGCCTCCTGTCACCATGTGGTAGAAAAATTTAAGAGCAAGAGACTATCCTGGTACTGCCTTAGTTATTTTAGCAAGGGGCTTCTCTCAACTGCCATCCTCCATGAGGATAATCCTTAAGTGTAGATGTCTTTTCTGATCTTTCAAATCAAAATCACAGAAGTAGTTTACAGAGCCGTAGATCAATAACAGAACATGAGGGGAATGAAGTCTTCCAGGGATGTGGAAAAATTCCAAAGAAACATACCCTAGGTTAGAGATCTACAGTTAAATATGTTTGCACACCGGGAAATATTTGTTCCTGCATTTTCTCCTGAGTGCTTAATCGAACTGATGTTAATATTACTAGGGACTGGAGGGGGTTGACATCCCATCAGAAATATGACAAGTTTGCCCTGGACTTGCTAAAAGCAGCTTTGAGGGGCACGGTGCTTGGTGTGAGAGCCAGGAAAGCAAAAGGAATAAAACTTGGTCTGAGGTATGATAGGATGAATAAGAGGAGTCCTTGGGACTCACACATAGAGGTCATTTTAGTTTTTAAAAATCTGTCAAACTATGACCAGAGAGATACTGTCAGAATTGTCAATAGAGCTAACTACTCAGTTGAACAGCAAATATGTGAAAATTGGATGATCATAATGCCTAGGCAATGATGATATATATATTTATATTTATATATTTATATTTATACAAATATATATATATATTTGTAGAAAGTGCTTAGTATTTTACAAAGTATAGTAGTGAACATTTATATTACATTCCTTATGTACTTAACACTGTCCAAAATGCTTGTATATTTAAACTTTTAACATATCTAACCCATGTAAAAATTAAAGTCATCTATTAATGTTATTTCATTTTTTGTTGAAAATGAAGTTTTTCATACAGTATATTCTGATCAAAATTTCCCCATCCCCCCTCTTATTCCTCTTTCTGTCTAGGAAGAAACAGACGATAAAACAAACCAAGGAACCAGAATTAAAAATAACAACAAAGAAAAAGTACAAAAAACAGACAGTAACACACCAAGAACTCATAAAAACACAAAATCAGAAACCATAACATACAAACAAGCAAAAGATCTGTAGCATGAGGGCTGGCTTGTTGGGGTTTCTGTCCCGCCCAGTACCCCACAACTGGCAAGCCCAAAGAAAATCACACACAGGACTCCATAAGATTATAAACTGATTGGCCCATTAGGTCAGGCTTCTTGTTAACTCTTATAACTTATATTAACCCATTATTCTCATCTATGTTAGCCATAATGGCTCCATACCTTTCTCAGCTGGGCAAGTTACATGCTGCCTCTTCGGTGGTCTGCGCAGGAGTGGCAGAGGAACCCCTGCTTCCCAGAATTCTCCTGTTCTCATTGCATCACCTCTACTTCCTGTCTGGTTTTCCCGCCTATACTGCCTGCCTGGCCAATCAGCGTTTTATTAAAACATGATTGACAGAATACAGACAATTCTCCTGCATCATTTCCCCCTTTTTTTTTTTAAACAAAGGAAAATACCCATAGTCCATTTGTTGGGAATGTGGGCGTAGTATTTCAGGCTACTTCCTGCTTGTTGGGGGTGCTGATAATCTTATGGGGACCTAAAGAAAATTTAGAGCTATAATCAAGTCCTGACTGAAGTATCCTGTGAGTCTTGATCATCTCAGGCAGCAGTCTTGAACCTGTTCTGGATGAAGAACTCAGACATCTGGGCCATCTATTCCTGTCGGAGATTTTTCAGGTGGCCTCCCTTGGTCAAAGGTGATTTTTCTTAACTCTGAGTAAATCCAGAGCCTCTCATTTTCTGTGGAAACAAAAGCAGAATCTCTTCTCCAAAGTAACATACCTTTTGACTTCAATTTTGAAGCCAAGTTATTTTCAAAATACCTATCTTGGGTTAGTTCAGCAGCATTTATAAAAAAAAGTTTTTTAGCAGCTGTTGCTCCTTCCTCAGCATTCAAACAATTCAAAGAGAGCATAATAGCATACAGTATCAAGATTCTCTGTATATTTTCCATCTTTATGTGGCTTTATTTTAACCTCTATTTCTTTTATTTTTACTTTTACTTTTTGAGACAGGTTCTCTGTATATCTTTGTCCTGGAATAACTCTGTAGACCAGGCTGTCCTTGAACTCACAGAGATCCTCCTGTCTCTGCCTCCCCAGTGCTGGGATTAAAGGTGTCTGCTACCACACCTTGAACTCACAGAGATCTGTCTGTCTCTGCCTCCCAGGCATTGGGATTAAAGGTGTGTGCTACCACACCTTGAAGTCACAGAGGTCAATCTACCTCTGTCCCTTGAAGTCACAGAGGTCAATCTACCTCTGCCTCCCAGGCATTGGGATTAAAGGTGTGTACCACCACACCCACCTTCTCTCTTTCTTTTTTTTTTTATTTTTAACCTTTAGCCTGCATATATTTTTAACACACTGTAAACCATTTAGAGGTTTTCTTCGTCTTTGAACCTCTCTTTACTGTATCTCTCTCTCTTTTTTGACTACATGAGTCTTTAAGGAGAAGATTAATCCTCTCCTGTGGTCTGGGCACATATGTAACATGAGGGCCGGCTTGTTGGGGTTTCTGTCCCTGCCCGGTACCCCACAACCGGCAAGTCCCAGAGAATCAATCACACAGAGATCTCTATAAGTTATAAAGCTGATTGGTCCATTAGCTCAGACATCTTGTTAACTCTTATAACTTATATTAACCCATTATTCTCATCTATGTTAGCCATAATGGCTCCATACCTTTCTCAGCTGGGCAAGTTACATGCTGCCTCTTTGGTGGTCTGCGCAGGAGTGGCAGAGAAACCCCTGCTTCCCAGAATTCTCCTGTTCTCATTGCATCACCTCTACTTCCTGTCTGGTTTTCCTGCCTATACTGCCTGCCTGGCCAATCAGCATTTTATTAAAACATGATTGACAGAATACAGACAATTCTCCTGCATCAAAGATCAGTGAGTTAAACAAATGCCCAAACAAAACAATATAGGGCACCCATATCTACACAACAAGAACACTGGGTTCTCTTGTGTTGGCCATCAGCTCTTAGACAGGGGCAAAAGTGTGGTTTATGGACCCAGTAAGACTCCATCTGAGAAAATTAGCTTTTCCTTTGCAAGTGGTTGTTGATTGGAACTCGTGCCCACTTTCACCTCTTAGCACTGGGACCTCTTCTGACTTGAACCTGTGCAGGCCCCATGCATTTGGCCACAGTATCTATGTGTTCACATGTGTATCAGTCCTGTTGTCTCAGGAAGACGCTGTTCCCTTGGTATCACTCATCCACACTGGCTCTTACCATCTTTCTTCCTCCTCTTCTGCACAGAATCCTAGGACCTGAGGGGAGGAGTTTTGTAGATGGATTTTTATTTGGGCCTTCAACTCACAAATAACGGCAAAGAGGAGACTTATTACTAATTATGAAAGTTCAGCCTTAGCTTAGGCTTCTTCCTAACTAGTTCTTATAACTTACATTAACCCTTATTTTTTAACTTGTTTTACATGGCCTGGCTATCTTTACTCTGTATTGCCCATCTTGTTTCCTCTGCACCTGGCTAGTGACAGTGCCCTTCTTCTTTCCAGAGTTCCCTCTCTCTGTGGAAGTCCCGCCTATCTATACCTTCCGCCTAGCTATTGGCCATTCAGCTTATTATTACATCAGCCACAAGAGTGCATCCTCACAGAGGGCACAAATATCCCACAGCAGAGTTTGATGAAGATATCCTACAAGGGATGAATACTCTAGAATCTCTCACTTTGTACAGTATCCAGTTGTGCGCCTCTGTTTTAGTTACTATCTACTTCAAGAGGAAGCTTCTCTGATGATGAGAGAGCAAGACACTGAGTATAGATAAAGTAGAAAGTCATAAGGCCTCATTGTGCTGTAGAGGTTTATGTCAACTTGAGCCAAGCTGGAGTTATCTTAAAGGAACAAGCTTCTTTTGAGAAAATGCCTCTGTAAGATCCAGGTATTTTCTTAATGATTGATGGAGGAGGACCCAGCCCATGGTGGGTGGTGCCATCCCTGGGCTGGTGATTCTAGGTTCTATAAGAAAGCAGGCTGAGCAAACTCTGGGGATCAAGACAGTAAATCAGCACCCCTCGTGGGCCTCTGCTTCAGCTCCCATCTCCAGGATCCTACCTTATTTCAGTTCCTGTCCCAACTTCCTTAATGATGTAGAGTGGTATGGAAATGTTAGCCTTTCTTCCACAACTTGCTTTGGGTCATGATGTTTCATCTCAGCAATAGCAACCACATGGAAGGCACATTTTAAGGATCTCTTGCTAGGCTGGCCATTGTGGTGGTTTATGTGTCTCAGAACCATTTTTTGTTTGTTTTGACCAAAAACTTAATTAGCTGTAACCTACCCCGGGCACTGAAGGTGTCACTTGGTGGTGAGGTATGTCTAGATGGGACTTTTCCCCTCATTATTTGGAGATTCCATTTAGATTTCCTCCATACATATATTTCAAGAAACTTTGGCAATTGTAGGCTTCTATCTGATCCCTCAAATGACCCTTACTATTAGCAGTCCTTGGACAATTCCCCTACCTCTTCCCTCCCCTTCCCTACTTATACTTCCTATTCCATCCTCCCCCATTTCACTTTAACTGTATATTCTATTTCTCCTTCCTTGTTAGATTCTTTCCCCAATATGCCCAAAGGTTTCTTACTCCTTACCTAATTTCTGTGGTGATTCAGATACTAGCATGCCTACTGAAGACTTAAAAGTTAACATCCACATGTAAAAGGATGCATACAGTCTTGTCATTTTGGGGATGAGTTACCCCATTCAGGACAATTTAGGATATTAATTTTGTATCCTGCTACTTTGGTGAAAGTTTTTATCAGCTGTAGAAGTTTCCTGGTAGAGATTTTAAGGCCTGTCACATATACTATTACATCATCTACAAATAAAGACACTTTGATTTCTCCATTTCCTATTTGTATTCCCTCATTCAGTTTTCTTATTTCTCTAGCTAAGACTTCAGGTACTATACTAAATATTTGTGGAGAGAGTGGACAGACTTGGCTTGTTCCTGGTTTTAGTGGAAATGCTTTTGAATTTCCTCTGTTTACATTGATGTTGTCTGTGGGCTTGTTGTGTATTGTCTGATTATGCTGAGGTGTGTCCCTTGTATTTCTTAGCTCTTCTGGACTCTTATCATGAAGGGATGTTGGATTTTGTCAGAGGCCTTTTGTACATCTAATGAAATTATCATGTAGTTTTTGTCTTTTAATCAGTTTATTTAGTAGATTATGATTATTAATTTCTGTTTGCTGGAACATTCCTGTATCTCTGGGATGAAGTTTTTTAATCAAGGCAGATAATCTTTTGATATATTCTTGGCTTTGATTTGCTAATTTTTGAGAATTTTTGCATATATGATTACAAGGAAAATTAATATATAGCTCTCTTTCTTTGTTGGGTATTTATGTATTTTATTTATGTATGTATTTTATGTAGCAGGATATCTCTGGCCTTATAAAAGAAGTAGAAAATATTCATTCTGTTTCTATTTTGTTGAATAATTTGAGGAGTAATGGTATTAATTCTTTGTTGACGGTATGGTTGAATTCTGTACTGAAATCATCTGACCTTGGGATTTTACTTTTTTTGGTTTTGTTTTGTTTTTTGTTTTCTTGGTTTTTAGACTCTTAAATACTGCTTTTACTTCACTAGGGTTTATGGATCTGTTTTAGTTGTTAATCTCATTTTGGTTTAACTTTGGTAGGCTGTATAGATCAAGAAACTCACCTATTTCTTTTAGGTGTTCCAGTTTGGTAGAGTACAGGTTTTTAAAGTATGTCCTTCTGAGTCTCTGGATGTCCCTGGAGTCTGTCGTGATGATCCCATTGTTTGTATTCAATGCAAATAATTTGTATCATCTCTCTCCATCATTTTTTTTTCCTAATAGGGCTACCTTTATATGTTACCTGGTCCTTTCCTCTTGTAGTTTTTAATATTCTTTCATTGTCTTGTATGTTTAGTATTTTGATTATGTGTTATGGGAACTAGCCTTCTGGTTTTGTCTATTTGGAGTTCTGTATACTTCTTGTACCTTGATAGTCACCTCATTTAGGTTTGGGAAATTTTCTTCTATGATTTTGTTGAAAATATTTTCTGTGTGTTTGGCCTGCATTTCTTTTCATTCTTCTATTCCTATTATTTGTAGATTTGGTCTTTTTCACAGTATCCCATATTTTTTGGATGTTCTGCATCTGGACCTTTTTATATTTTTTTTGAGGTGTCAAGTTCTTCTAAATCTTCAAATGGGATTCTTTCTTCCATTGCTTTTATTCTGTTGCTGAGGTTTCCAATAAACACAAGCTTTCCTGTGTGGACTCTCAGTCCTCTATTGCCACTCCTTTGTATTCCTATCTGTACCTAGGAACTCTCTACTTGGGACACCCAGTGGCAATGGACAATGGAGGTAGAGTGGGAAAGAGAAACCTGCAAGCAGTCTACAATAGGGCTGGAGATGGGCAATTGCAATGGAGGATAGGAAGGAGAGTAAAAATTGCCTAGCCAAGCCCCAGTTGGGCGTGGTCACTGGGAGTCTCAGCTAGAAAGCAATTTGAGGATGACACAAAGCAATGGCCATGGGCTAGAATGGAGGGATGTGAAAGTCCACAGGCAAAAGGAAAGCTGGGTCCACTTCAGGGTTCTGTGGAATGCCCAGAAAAGGAAGGAGGGATGAGAGGAGAGTCGCCTGCAAGCAGTCTTCTACAGGCCTAGGCACAAAATTCTGTCATTGTGTTCTGTAAGTGGGGAAATCCAGGGTAAAAAGAAGGTATATATATAATATACCTCAGTGGGACTGGGGACTGGGCAACTCCAGCTGGTACAGGGATTTAACTTTTAACTGTTATTCTGTTTCACAAATGAGACATTACATTTATTCATCACAGTTTTAACTGACTGCAAAAGTGGTTAATCAAGAGAAAGGCACTTATACTGGGGGATAGGGAGATATATCAAATAAGATATTTGGAGAGTATTTAGTAGCAAATGGTACATGTGCTCTATCCTGACACTCTCATGTTTTATTCCTAAGGAAGGATGAGTAAATATCTATGCTGTTCATCAAAATGTCAAGACTTAGACTTTTTCTTCTTTGAATGTAGCATCATGTAGAAAATGGTCCGTGAGGCTTACCTTCTATAATACGGAGAGAAATTGTTTAATTTTAAGAGTATTTGGGTGTGGTTAACTTTAGTGCATAATTTGTAAAAACATTGCATTGCTTTTCATAATAAGGTTCTTCCCCCCAGAGGCTTTATTATCATGTAGGCATGTTTTATTTTGTTTTTTACATGCGATCTTTGCCCAAATTAATAAAACTCTTCAAAAATTGGAAGTTCAGACCAGTAAAGACTTTGATCTGCTGAGATGTCACTACAACTAAATACTGAATAGTGACTGTAACCGTAGAGTGTGACCTTAAAGAGTAGCCTGAGCTCAGGGAAACCACAGGAGTTCTCAGAGCCAGAGTACTTTTCTGCAATGGTATAGTTTCCAGAGTAGCCCATGTGATTATGATGACAGCGTGTCCAATGCAGACTACACGTATATTATGTGTTGGTTTGAATAGGCATGGCCTCCATAGACTCATGTTTGAATGCTTGGCCCATAGGGAGTGGCACTATCAGGAGATGTGACCTTGTTGGAGTAGGAATGGCCTTGTTGGAAGAAGTGTGTCATTGTGGGAGAGGGCTTTGAGGTCTTATATGCTTAAGCTATGCCTAGTGTGGTGCATGGTCTCTCCTTCTGCTGCCTGTGATCAAGATGTAGAACTCTCAGCTCCTTCTCCAGCAACATGTCTGCCTGCAGGCTGCCAGGATTCTCACCATGGTGATAATGGATAAACCTCTGAAATTGAAAACCAGCCCCAGCTAAATATTTTCCTTTATAAAAGTTGCTGTGGTAATGCTGTCTCTTCACAGTGACAGAAACCCTAGTTAAGATGTAATGCAACATATTATTATTGCTAGTATTAACATTTCTTTTTCTGATTGTTAGTTAGTTTTAATTAACTGGGTTGTATTGCATAGTAAGCTCTATACTGATAACACGCTGTATCAGGCAATAGTCACCAACAGTACCAGCCTTAGTGGCAATCCTCCATTTCTGAACCCAGTTTTCCACCTGCTTCTGGTGTTCCCCCTTCTCTACTAAAGACTTCTTTTAATCTTCCATACTAGTTCTTGTTCATCTTTTCATCCTCCTACTACTGAATCGTGCAGGGATGAATTCTTGGATCTCTGTCTGTACTCACTCTCTTGGGATCTCTTTTATTATCACATTTACTTTGTCTACTCACAAATTTATGTCTCCAAACTGGAACTCAATTATAGATTCATATATTCAATGGCCTATTAACATCTCCACTTAGATATTTTATAGATACATTAAACTAATCATGCTAATAACGGAACACTCGGATTTTCTCCTAAAATATGCTGTACCTGCACTCTTGCCTGTCTTCAAATGTGATAGCGAAAACCTCAGACGAGTAAAACCCACACAACCTCAAATCTTTCTGGGTCTTTTTTTTTCATGTTTGACATCATTATTTCAGAATTCTTTTTTACATGATCTTCGGGTGTTCCCAGAATCTTAATCCTTACTAGTTCCCCTGCTACAATCCAGATTCAAGCTTCATTCTTTTAAAAACAATTAAATTTGTATTTGTGTGTTTATGTCACGGGTGTGAATGTCACATATGTGCACTCACCTACAGAGGCCAGAAGAAGGTACCTGATTCCTAGTGTGGAGGTTTGAATAAGAATCTTCCCGATAGACTCATAGGTTTGAACATTTCGCTCCTAGTTTGGGGAGCAGTTTGGGAAGGAATAAGAGCTGTGACCCTCTTGGAGGAGATGTGGCTTTCTTGGAGAAAGTGCATTACTGGGGTTGAGTTGTGAGGTTTCAAAAGCCCATGTCAGGCACAGTCTCTCTCTCTC